GGAGACTGTGGATAGGAAGGAGCACCTGCCGTGGAGGAGTTTTCTGTGGCCCCAGCAACACTCAATTCCTGACACGGTTCATAGTTACGTGTACACGTTAACACAATTTCAGATGTGCATTCGTGTTCTGTGCTCTTTCTTGGTATGTATGTTAGTTTCCACCAATATAAAAATCCCACAGCTATACACACACAGGAAATAACACGGGGCATCTGCTTCAGTGAACTGGTCAGGGACAGTCTCTCTGAATACAGAGAGATTATTTTTATAATTATGACAGATGTAAGATTACTTTTATAATTATGGCATACGTAAGATTACTTTTATAATGATGATATATGTAAGATTATTTTTATAATGATAACATATGTAAAAACATGTCATAAACCCGCAGTACAGCGGGCTATGTGCCACGGTGGGAGTGCTGGCAGTTTGCAAAGAGGTCTCTGAGCAAGGCCTCCATGTACCATGAATTCAGATTGGAGAGGAGAAGGGCAGTCCCGAATTCTATAGTACAGATTTTTGAGTGAATCTCTCTCTCTCTCCTACTCCCTTCCTCTCTGAAATAATTAAAAAAAATTTTTTTAAGTAAAGAAAGGAATAACACTAATTCTCAAAAAAGTCTTCCAGAAAATTGAGGTCACCGGTGGGAAGAGTTCTTCTGGAGATAGCTGGGTGTGCCGGCGGCATATTAAACGCACAGAACATTTTATTTGTAACAGGACCAGGGGCTAAGCTATTGGCTGCTCATTCTCCCTTGAATCCTAGACCTCCCTCCCTCGTCACTGCAATGGCCATGCTACCCTCTCCAGACCTCAGAACCGCAGGGGGGCGCTGTCTAGGGAACTGGGGGTGTTTTGAACAAGCCTGAGATTCCCAGAAAACCCTCAGGGGTGGCTAGTCTCAGGGTAGAGACAAGGATGCACACAGGCTCCCAGAGCACTTCTCTTCTGTTCTTTATCGGCTCTGCACGTGTTGTCTGAAAAGCTTCTGTTTTCACAGCCTTCACGAAGGTAGAACTTCTCTGCTTTCAACAGGCCCCAGTCGCCCAGAGCTGTGCTCCTCCCTCGCCCGAGGGAAAAGAGGCTGCTCTGCTCTGACTGTTCTTTCAAACCCTGATGGAGAAGAGACTGTTCTTTCTGCTGGATCACTGGCATATGTCCTGTGGGTACTGGGACAAGCCAGGAGCCTGAGGCTAGCGGTGCCCATGGGGCCAGTGACTGTGCTTCTTCATCCCGTTGACTCGCCTCTTCAGGTGTGGGATCTGCCACAGCTGAGAGCTCCGTCCCCCGATCCGGTACTCACACCAGCCCCACTGACCTCTTCAGAAAGGTCCTTATGTGGAACTATCTGGATTAGCAATAAATTTCAGGATATTTGGCTAAATTCCCTGTGGAGAGTCAATCTGTCTCCTTTAAAAGTAATAACTAGAGCCCTAATCGGTTTGGCTCAATGGATAGAGCGTCGGTCTGCGGACTCAGGGGTCCCAGGTTCAATCCTAGTCAAGGGAATGTTCCTTGATTGGGGGTGTGCAACAGGCAGCTGATTGATGTTTCTCTCTCATCAATGTTTCTAACTCTCTATATTTCTCCCTTCCTCTCTGTAAAAAATCAATAAAATATATCTTTTTAAAAAGTAATAACTAGAAAGCAAATCTCCATTCAAGAAATGTCATTTTTAGTATTTGCCTAACATCGGAAATGCAAAGCAAAAATCCTAGCCCTGATCTAACAGATTCTAATCTCACACATATGGACGCCACTGGAGACCTCCCTGGTTACTCTCAGTTGAGATAAACCCTGGCTCCACTTCCGGTCTAATTGCACCTCTGGAACGCTGTGATGGGGAGAGGGGCATCCTGATAAAGGGGCCGTGCAGACTTAGGTAAGGTCTAAAGCAACCCTGAACACTTTTAAGTCATGGGTCTGAAATTTATGACATAAAAATAATTATTATGAGGTGAGCTAAGAGGATAAGAAAAAGGATTAGAGGCACTGAGAGAAAGAACAGAGTGGGCTCAGTAAGAAAATCAGGAGTATCGGCCCACGTGGCTCAGTGGTTGAGCATCAACCTATGAACCAGGTTCAATTCCCGGGCAGGGCACATGCCCGGGTTGCGGTCTCGATCCCCAGGATGGGGCGCGCAGGAGGCGGCTGATCAATGATTCTCTCTCACCATTGATGTTTCTACCTCTCTCTCCCTTTCCCTTCCACTCTGAAATCAATAATAAAAATATATTCTTAAAAAGGAAAATCGGGTATTTTGAGATATTAAGGCTGGGAGTATGTGAGGAGATTTTAGGAGAAAAGTAAGTCAATGGAATGGGTTCATTAAGCAAAGAATCCAGGTGGGTCAGTAAAGCAGGAGAGAGAAGTCTGTTCTTTAGAAGTGGCTTAATCACATCAGAGGAGGGTAATTAGTGAGGAGATGGTCCTGGCAGGTGCAGAAGGAGGGAGAGCCTGTGCTCCTTTCTGGTGGCTGCCATTGGCGAAAGAAATAAGGATGGAAGGAAAGAGGGAAGATCTCAAATTGTGGAAGAGAGGAATATAGAGAAGCAGAGAAGACATGAAATGTCAGGGCGATAAGACGAGCTAATGACTGTGCACAAGACAAAAATCAGTCATGCCGCCTGTGTGTGTGTGTGTGTGTGTGTGTGTGTGTGTGTGATGCACAAATACTTATTGGTGCTATTTCACAGCTTCACCCGGGTTCTAGTTCATGGGTTTGCCTCTCTTCCTCCTTCTTCCCTTGAGGGAAGAGCTAGTGTGCTCTTTGGTAGGCAGTGGTAACTTCCAGTATGTCATGGCGAAAATCTCCTCGATGCATCACTCTTGTGCCCTGCCTCACCAGCCCACATCTGGCTGAGACCACCGCCCCCTTTGCTGTAGACCTACCTAGTGCCCTAGGGCAGTGGTCGGCAAACCCCGGCTCATGAGTCACATGCGGCTCTTTGGCCCCTTGAGTGTGGCTCTTGCACAAAATACCACGTGCGGGCGCACACGTACAGTGCGATTGAAACTTCGTGGCCCATGTGCAGAAGTCGGTTTTCGGCCTGGGCGAGTCTATTTTGAAGAAGTGGCCTTAGAAGAAGTGGGGGGTGTCGGTCGGTCGGTCGGGCCGCGGGATATGCAGCGGGAGAGGCGTGCGATTCATGCACGAGTTGAGTGAGCCAGTCAGTCAGCAGTCTCATGGTGCAGTGGTTAGTGCTAGTCGCGTCCGCAAATCGCGAGCGGGTGACAAAAGTACCTACTCGAAGCATAAAGTTACCTGTATTTTTCCAGCTGCAAATCCTACAGGTATTTTTGTCATCAATTTAAGAATTGTAATTCTTTTGTGTTGGTGGCTTTATTATTATAAAATGAAACATTTTTTGAGGTGCCCTGTTTGAGATGGCTACAAAGAAGAAGCAAAGAAAAACGGAAGACGAAGACCGTGAAGTTAAAGTTGAATGTACCTACCTGTATAGCTTAAGTTTAAAAAATTTGGCTCTCAAAAGAAATTTCCACTGTTGTACTGTTGATATTTGGCTCTGTTGACTAATGAGTTTGCCAACCACTGCCCTAGTGCAATCTGCTTCCTTCCAGGTGCTGTTTCTCCCCCTATATGGCTTTGCCCGAAGCATGGACACAGACCCTACCCTCAATTCCTGGCAAATAACATCAGGGACTAAGCTGAGATTTCCATTATAGTTTGTTGAAGGCATAGGAATTACTGAGGGAAGCTAACAGAAAACATAGAATGAGATCCTGGCTATGGCTGTTCTTGGAATCCGCTGGCTCAGTCCTTCCATGGGACCTTGACATTCAGCCACCTACCTACCTGGATGCACAGTCACCCTCAGAGTTCAGGGAAAACCCACTAATACCCGGCCTGACAGCCAGGGGGAAGGACCAGCTGACCGCCCTCCAGGAGAAGTAATCCAAACCTTCTCTCTGCTAACAAAAGTCTACGTCTCACCCTGGCTGGGGTGGGTCAGTGGTTAGAGCGTTTGCCCATACACTGAAGGGTCACGGGTTCGATTCCTGGTCAAGGGCATGTACCTGGGTTTCGGGTTTGACCACCGGCCCTGGTTGGGGCAGGAGCAGGAGGCAACCAATAATGGATGTGTCTCTCTCACATCTCTGTCTCTCTCTCTCTCTCTCTCTCTCTCTTCTTCTCTCTCTCTTCTTCTTCCACCATCCTTTCCAGTCTTTCTAAAAATTAATGGGAAAAATCTCCTTGGGTGAGGATTGACATACAAAAAATCTAAGTCTCAGCTCCCAGAGTGGGAAGCAGTTTCCTCCTCGACTCTCATCTCCTGCCCTAGGGTTTGCTTCATTCCAGGATGACTGACAGTGGGGAGCCACGCCCCTCAGGAAAATCCTCTGTCAGGGCCTCTGAGCCTAATCCTCCCCTTCTCTTCCCCATTCCCTAGAGCAGCGGTTCTCAACCTGTGGGTCGCGACCCCTTTGGCGGTCGAACGACCGACCCTTTCACAGGGGTCGCGTAAGACCCCATAACAGTAGCAACATGACAGTCATGAAGTAGCAACGAAAATAATTCTATGGTTGGGAGTCACCACAACATGAGGAACTGTATTTAAAGGGCCAGAAGGTTGAGAACCACTGCCCTAGAGGCATCGGCCATTCTGCCTTCCAGTTATCTGCACTCATGCTCTCCTTGCTTTAATGAGCACCTTGGTGAGAATGTCTGAGTCCTACCTGCCCAGCCCTGACCCACCCTGTACTCTCCACCGTGTGGAAGAAAGAAAAGGTCGTAGAACATGACATGGGACACCCTGAGTGGCAGGACTGAAATAAATCAGGGCCAGGATGTGTCTCTAGCCAGTCCCTCTCCCGAAATGTGCCGAAAGGGAAATGACTGGTCCCTAGAAGCAGGAGAGTCTCTGAAGGACTTCCACAGTGTCCCCGCCCTTAGCCCTTCCTGGGGAAGCCCCACCTGGCAGGTGTATAAATAGGCACCTCAGCTCCTGCCCTAAGCTACTCAGCTCTCCCTCCACAATGGACAGGCCCCTCCTGCGGGGGCTCCCTGTGCTGCTCTGCTGCTTCAGAGGTGAGCCCCCAGGGGTGACGGTTGGAGAGACATGTGGAGGGTCCTGGAATGGGTCAGGGTTCCCACCACAGAGGTCCTCTTAGGGGAGCCCTGGGGCACCAGAAACTGCCATTCCAATGCCATGCCTTCCGCCTCAGGGCATCATGTCCCTGGGATCTCACCAAAGCCATAGCTTCTGTCCGTGCCTCCCCCACTCCCCCCAGGAAAAAATTGATGGGTTATAAGGAATTGAGAGAATTTTCACAGAAGCTGGGAGGTGGGACTTGTTAAAACAAGGTCTGCAGAGAATGTATCTCTCTTCCCCCAACAGTACTATCTGGGTCATTTATGAACAGAGAATATGCAGGTGAGTAGAAATGGATCAGTAGTGGGGGAGGGGGAAGGTTAGAGGAGGGAGGAGATGAGAGAGGGCAGGGCAGGCCTTGGGGATGGAAAGGAACCAGAGATAGACCCAGACTTGGAACACCCGGCAACCTATTCCCGCAGGAGGGGGCTGGGGTGGGAGCTGGTTTTAAGTTTGACCTCCTAACATGAACAGCAGCTGACAAGGCTTAGGGCGAGTTAATAAAGGACAAGAACGAGGGAAAGTGGAAAGGGAGACGTTCCAGGCACTAGCGGGCCAAATCCAAAGTGTAACTACTTAATGGCTATCAGATGCTTTTTCCTATCGTCAGCTTCCAGACAACACGTGGGTAAAAGCCACATAGGGTGGGTTAAAAAGAAGAGAGTGAGGTTTAAAAAAAAAAGTGTATTTCCCTGTCTCCCCCTGGTGTGCGCTGCGTCCTAGAAGAATGGGGAGAGGAGTCTGAGAGGCCCCATACAGGTGAAGAGCATTCAAGTGGGGAAGGAGCGCGGAGGGGTCGTGAGATAGGTGTTCAGGCTCCGGAGGGACAGACATGGCCTAAGGTGGCTCCAGGTTAGAGAGAGGATGGACCCGGGCCCGGCAAGGATGAAAAGGGCAGGTTTGCTTCACGTTCCATTTCTCTTTGCCAGCGCAGACACTTACCAGCAGCACCTCTATATTGAAAAAAGCAAATTTTTTGGTGAGTATGAGGAGGACCTGAGCTGGTGGCCTCAGCCTTCGCTTTGTTCCTCTGTTTGTGTCTTTCCCCTCCCGTATTTGTCAGACTAAGGCTCTGGAGACCATAGACCCCACAGCCTGTCTTGGCTTAGCCTCTGCCGAATCCCAGCCTGAAAGGGGAGGTGGGTCCTCTCAGGGCATGGAGAGCTGCTCTCGCTTCCACTTCCCTCCTCTCTGGTCCAAATGACAGACACCGTCCAGTGCAAGATGTGCCACGTCAAGTTTCCAGGGCAGAGATGCTACAGAGGCAGGGGGATCTGTCATGCCACACCGGAGGAGGCTTGCACGGTTGGGAGGATTTATAAAAGTAAGTTGTGGGTTGGGGGGAGGAAAGAGGGGCGAAGGAAGCAGACAGGGAGGTGTCTGCCAGAGGAAAGAGGCGGGGCTCCTTTCACTCCTGGCGATCTCAGCTCTGAGTGGCTGGTACCTCCACCCCCCATCCTATGGCAGAATGCAACTAGATGAGGGTGACCCGTGAAGGAAGGGGTGGGTCTGTAGCTAGAGAGCCTAGTATTTCGAGAAGCCCGAAGGGAGCAGGGGAGAGGCAACTGGCTGGAGAGCAGCTCGGCGTGGGGCGGGGAGGGCAGCTCCGTGTCTTTGTCTCTGCCTGCAAGTCCTCCTGGGTGGTTTTCAGCTGTGGAGACAGAGGAGCTGCGAGCAGCAGTAGCGACTGGCTTAACCGTTTGAGTCCCAAGCAGCGCGATCGCCGCTGCTTGGTATTTCTCGACATAAAATAAAACAAGCGCTATCACGCTGTTTGGGTCTTTTCGTACTCATTTAGAGAAAGCGCGGTTGCGCTGTTGGGGATTCTTCGACAGTGTTTTTTCAATACCCTCTGGGACTCAAACGAATCGTATGTTTTCTCGACATAAAATCTCAGCAGCGCGATCGCGCTGCTTGGGACTCAAACGGTTAAATAGCCCTCGATGGGTAAGACTAAGCATCGTGACTTCTCCAATCGCCTACCCTTCGTGCTCAGTGATCCCTTGGCATTTATCGGTCTTACTTACACCAGTGCTGATTCTCGATGGAAGCGCCGCTTTGGCAACCCCAGGATTGCTGCTGGCATTGTTTCTCCACCCCCAACCCTCTCTCCCAACTCCTCTGCCACTGCCTTTCGCCTGGGAAGCCTCCAGCCAGCAGCATCTTCCAATTCTCTCCATTTGAATAACACAGCCTTACACTACGACCCGAGGTCGCTTTCCTGTGCCGGGTGGTCTGGACAGAAGTTTCTGGGTAGGCGCCTCTGTGCTGATGTTTCTCCTCCCCCCTGCAGGTGACGGAACTCTGTGGTTGGTCTTCTCCGGCTGCCTGAAGAACTGTGCGAACGTGAACAACATCAGATGGAGCGTCTACCGGGTAGACTTCCGGTGCTGCAGGAGCACTGACTTTTGTAATGAACTCATCTAGAAATTCTGTGGCTCCACCTCTAGGGGGCATTGTTGCCACGGCCTCTTGAGAATGCTTTCCTAAATAAACACATTTCAGGTTGCAAACACATGGCTGTCTTCTTCATGGGTAAGAAAAAGCCCTTTCTCTTTTTTAAGTTAAAAAAATGTATCTTTATTGATTTCGGAGAGGAAGGGAGGAGAGAGAGAGATAGAAACATCAATGATGAGAGAGAATCATTGATTGGCTGCCCCCTGTACGCCCCCTACTGGGGATCGAGCCCACAACCTGGGCATGTGCCCTCCACTGGAATCAAACCTGGGACCCTTCAGTCCGCAGGCACTCTATCCACTGAGCCCCACCGGCTAGGGCAAGGTCTCCACTCTCAATTCAATCCCTACATGGCTACCTGATTACCTGGCTAGGTAGGGCCATCATAACTGCACTCACACCAAATTGTCTCTCAAATCTTAGTGTCCACAAACTGAAATGCCCTCAAAAATTTTCCTTGATGCTTTATCCCTATGCCTGCCCGGGTGTTCTAGCTTGATTCCTGCTCCCCTCCCACACACTCGGCCCCCCACCACCTCACCCCCACCACCAAAGAGCTCTCTACCAGAGAAAGATGTGGCTCACGTTGCCAGCATATTGGGAAGCTAGAGTGAGTCCTCTTTTATCTCCATTAGACACTTCATAGTGAATGAGACTCAGCTACCCTCCTCTACTTCTTCTTATGACTGCTACCCTTTTCACTATCAGCTGGCTCTCTCACTCGCTGCCATTGTTCGAAGAGGGGAGCAAAACAAGGTCTGTGGGGAGGAAATAAAGGGAATGGGGAGTTGAAGAATGACCCCAAACCCAGGAGAGACGCGGAGCTAGGATCCCTCGGGGAGGTTGCAATAGTTACTATGGTCGCAACAGAGGAGCTCTGTCCTCTTCTCAAAACCCAAGAAGTTGACGTCCTCACAGTTGGTCATACACGACAGTATTGAATAATAGTATATACTCTGCCCTGAGGAGGTGAAAGAGAGGGAATGCCACTGTAATGACGTTGTTTCCTCCTACCGTATTCCTAGGAACCACTTCTCTTCAGAGCCTCACTAATTTTTCCCTGAGCCCAGATGAGCCACAAAGCTGAGTCTACGAACTACTGACCCAGATCATGGATTTCATTCCCTAACCAAGAAGGCACATCTGCTGCTTCGTCGCTCACTGCTGTCTTCGGGAAAACCAATAATGGATGTGTCTAGGTGCCCCAGGGGCATTTGCCATCCCCTCTGGAGGACCACCCCTTCCTTCCCCAGCCCATTCTCTCACACCCTCTGAGGGAGGGCAAAAGAACAGCAAGTGTCCAAGGGGGGGAGGTGGGTCTTTCTCAGTCACACTGCACCCCACACTACCTTTTTTTGTGAGGATGTAAATGTTCTCGATGGCACAGGACTGCTGGAACTTCAGGGTGCAGGAGTCCATGATGTCATAGCATAACCCAAGATGAAATTTCTTACATTTATAACATAGTACGGAAGGCTCTGCCAGACACAGAAAGAGGTGCTTAAACAATGTACTCAGCAGAGGGTACTCCAGGCTGGGGGGCTTCTCTACAGGAATGTACTGTTGCCTCATGGCTCCTACTCTTCCTCAGGCCATCGAATCCTTCAATAATCTCCGTGAAAGCTAACATGTACAGACATACATCAAATGTTGCGTATGATTTCAAAAGGTCAGGGTCCCTATAAAATTTATCTATGCGCCCACCCCAAAGATTTAGCCCCTTGTCAAGTCAAAATCTAGATGACTTTTGTCCAGTAAGGAGGAAAAGGGAGTAACAAAGGGGATTTTAGTCTCCTTACGGGAAGGAATAGACTAAATTGGTCTGGAGTGGACTAAATTGGTCTGGGAGAAGAGAAAAATCCTAGGACTCTATAATAAGAATGTTTTCTAGCCCTCTCTGCAGATGGAGGGGAGGTTTACTTCTAAACACGTCACAAAAGACCTGTTTACCAAGGACTTCAGACTAGGCACGGTCGTACCTATGAAATACCTCTGAAGATCACCTGTGAAAAGAAGAAAAGTATTCCTTGAAATAATTCCACATAAATCTGCCCAAGTCCCAAAGCCAATTCTGGAAATCCCACCCCCCCATGTCACCCATCTCCTAAGCAACAACCAGCTGCCCCTCTGTCTCCAGGACTTACCATTATTGGTGCAGATCAGAGAGACCAGGCCCAGCAAAAACAGAGCGAACATCCTTGGACTTGGGTCGTGTGCACTTTCCTGAGGAACGTGCTGGTTAATCTCCTCCAGTGATCTGTCCTTGGGCACTTCTTCTAAATTATAGAATCATAAAAATTCCGGGACGGACAGTACCTCGATGTTCCCAGAACAAAACCACCCACTGGAGTCTCACTACCCCTAAGGCATCTAGTTTAAAATTCTCTTCAACAATGAGCCAACATCTATAATAATAAAAGCATAATATGCTAATTAGACCAGGCAGCTGAACAACTTTCCGGACGAAGCTGTGACGAATTTCGTGCATCAGGCCTCTAGTATACATTGAGCTATGCAATAAAGTCAAATTTCTCTTTCACATTTTAACCTTCCAAATATATCAAGATAGGATTTGGACATCTTAGTTCCTTTTAGCTATTTTCACTAACCTAGTTGTTCTCTTTAGAATAATCGCAGACTTTTTTTTGGTCTCACCTAATAAGCTCAGGATTCCAGGTGTAGTCTGAATGTGGGGGAGCACTAGGGTGCCCCTTCTGTGGTGTAGGGGAGGGAGACATCAGGGAAAAGGTAAGCCGACGTGAAATTTGTCTGATTTGCTTTCAGGTGATTGGTTTTGTAATTAAGTAACTACAAAATACAGACCAAATGACAATATCACAGGAAGAGAAGATCAGCGAACTAGGACACAAGTTAGTGGTCTCACAGACATGAAAGCCTTGTTTTAGGGACCACAGGTACATCAAGCAAGGCTGTTTATGAGGGCTGAGATGAGGGACACTCCAATTTGACTGTCTAAACAGGGAAGGTTTCCCAGAAAAAGAAGTGGTTGGACAGGACTTTTCGGGCTATCAATGTGCTAGCTAAAATAGGTGAGTAGGGCCCTGGCTGATGTGGCTCAGTTGGTTGGGTGTGGTCCCATGCACCAAAAGGTCTCCAGATCGATTCCAGACAGGGCACATGCCTGGGCTGTGGGCTCAGTCCCCTGTAGGGGACATACAGGAGGCAGCTGATGGATGTTTCTCTCTCACATTGATGTTTCTCTCTCTCTCTCTCTCTCTCTCTCTCTCACTAAAATCAATCAAAACTTTTTTTTTTAAGAAGTGAGTAGGGACAGGCACCCAAAAGAACAGCATATGTCAAAGTGCGGAGCTGTCAAAAGACCTGAAACACTGTGATGGGAGCAGGTCATGAGGCTGCAGTCATCTGGGTAAGCAGGAAACCAGGGCACAGAGGTGCATGTTGTTGGAGGTGATGGCATGTGGTAAAAAAAAAGGGGACCATGCACTGGTCTTGCTGCTGGGTTTACTGTGTCCTAATGGTGTAGGGTGGAATTTCTCACTACCTGACTGTACGTATCTATTTGGTGACTTGCTTGACTCCTCGACTAGAACAAAGCAGGGGTTTGGTTTCATTGACCGCTGCACTCCCAGCATCTGGACGCTCCCCACTTAGGAGATACCCCATAAATACTGTATTTGTGGAACAAGTGAATAATGATTTTTCCACATCCTCTCAGGCATCCTTCCAGTCCATTTTTCACGTAGCAACCAGGTTATCAGATTGATTTTGGGGGAACTAAAATAAGGATGTAAAAATGAAGCTCTTTCTACATTCCAGCTAGAGTCCTGAGATAGTAGGCGGCATGTATCTTGACACTTCAAAGTGAAGCGTTGTGCTACTTGGGAAGTTTACAAAGGCAATCATGAAAACCAGTTCGACTGTCCTGGGCTTTTTGGCCATCTTGGTTTTGGTATGTTGTCACAATTATGAACATGCCAAATATTGTTATACCGTACAGTCTAAATTAGTGCAATTTTTGGAGGTCAATTATAACTCAATAAAGCTATGATAATTTTTTAAAAATAAAATGTAATGTATTTTTACATCCTCAGTGAAGAACAGATAGACATTGTGTGCCTCTAAATATGATACAAAGAAGAACACAATAGCATCCATGCAGTACTTCAGCCCAGAATGGACCATCTAAATCTAATCATGAGGAATTATCAAACACCCCCCAAATGAATGATGAATGCTGCATTTTATTTTTTTTATTTTTATTCTTTTATATATTATATTGATTTTTTACAGAGAGGAAGGGAGAGGGATAGAGAGTTAGAAACATCGAGAGAGAAACATCGACCAGCTGCCTCCTGCACACCCCCTACTGGGGATGTGCCCGCAACCAAGTACATGCCCTTGACCAGAATCGAACCTGGGACCCTTTAGTCCACAGGCCGACGCTCTATCCACTGAGCCAAACCGGTTAGGGCTGAATGCTGCATTTTAAAAGAGAGGGGACTGTTTAATATATATATACTGGTGAGGATTCAATCCACACCCAGTTATATATATCACATCACGAAAGACAAGGACAGGCTGTAGAAATATTCCAGTTTAAAGGAAGCTGAAGAGACATGACAGCCCAACTGGTGTGGCTCAGTGGTTGAGCGTCGACCTATGTACCAGGAAGTCAAGGTACAATTCCCGGTCAGGGCACATGCCTAGGTTGTGGGCTCGATCCCCAGTAGGGGATCCCCAAGCAGGAGGCAGCTGATCAATGATTCTCTCTCATCATTGATGTTTCTATCTCTCTCTCCCACTCCCTTCCTCTCTGAAATCAATAAAAGCATATTAAAAAAAGAAAAAAAAAGAAATGTGCCAACCTTTTCAAACTGAGCTTTTTTTTTTTAGAAACTCAGATTAGGAGGTTGCTCATCTGTGGTATCACCAAGATCTCAGCCCCCATCCTGATGCCAAGAGGGACCATGAACACAAGGACACGATGTTCTGCTTTCATCTCCCCAGAGCAGGGCGAACGGCATCTATGCTGAGTGGCAGCTTCTTCACATGGGAGTGCATTCATCTGGGCGCTGTGCCCCACTGACTCTATCTGTTATGGAGACTGGAATCAGGTGAGATGGACACCTTCATCCGTTCACTTCCGCACTCAGTCACCATATGTTCAGCTCATCACCGTGTGCGAAGCAGAGTGCTAGGTCAAAATAACAGAGTTGGTACCCATCCTCATGACGTACGTCATAGAGCCATAGAATGTTAAAGTTGTAAATGATCCTAAAAACGCTCGAAATCCCACTTCATAGATAAGTGGCTCGGTAGAGACACCATGAGTTGCATTGCAGTCAACCACAGGTCTCCAGAGTCCGAGGAAAATGCTATTTCTATTACACCACATTGCCTCTCCTAATAGGTTCTCATACCTATTCTCCCCTACTCCATGCTAACTGGAGAACAACATTGTTTTTAAGAGGAACTTGGATGGATGAGTTACTGTGGGAGAATGCAGAGCGGGTCAAAGGATCCCAGTGCCTGGGTGGAGTTGCAAAATTCCATAATCCTCCCTGGAAATTATCCAGCAGAAAAGAGATTCAAAACTCAATGAGCCTTTCAGAAAGCATCTGCCATAGGGAGCCTTGAAGGAAGAAGAATGGAAACTGTGTAAACACTTCCTTGGCTATGGTTCTAGAGCAGCAGTTCTCAACCTGTGGGTCGCGACCCCTTTGGGGGTCGAACGACCCTTTCACAGGGGTCGCCTAAGACCATCGGAAAACACATATATAATTACATATTGTTTTTGTGATGAATCACTATGCTTTAATTATGTTCAATTTGCAACAATGAAATTGGGGGTCACCACCACATGAGGAACTGTATTAAAGGGTCGCGGCATTAGGAAGGTTGAGAACCACTGTTCTAGGGTCATTGTCTTTAAAGACAAAGCAGAGAAAACAAGTAACAAAAGAAATGCCCTGATAACCTTATAGACCCAGGCACCAAAGGCTCATGGGTTTGCCTTCTTGCTAATCCTTTGGAAAGTCCTGAAACATTCCATCCAGTTTGTAACATCCTCACCAGAAATATGGCAGAGTGGAGAAAAGACCTCACAATCTTTCTCTCCATTCTAGAATCAATTTTTTTTCCAGACCCAATTCCCTCATATCTAAAGCCTATCTGGCTCTCGTCCCAGGCAAGGATGATTGTAAATTTGGGGGCATTTGAGCTCAGACCTTATTTCATGAAATCTATGCCTGATGTCTCAAAATGTTAGACTTTTATTGAACATATTGTTCCTACAACTAAAGAGCATGTCATTGAGTTAGTTCAGTATGGAAGATTCTTGGGATCTCTAGCCAAAGTCCCATCAGCTCACTGACTGACAGGCTTAGCTTTAGAATGCCAGGGCTGGCCATTGTTTTCCACTGCTTGACCCCTGGTTAACCTTAACTAAGTTAACTTTCTTTCTTTTTTTAAAATATATTTTATTGATTTTTTTTTCAGAGAGGAAGGGAGAGGGATAGAGAGTTAGAAACATCAATGAGAGAGAAACATCGATCAGCTGCCTCCTGCACACCTTCTACTGGGGATGTGCC